AAATGATTTCACAAGACTGCTTTCTCTCTGCTTTCCCTTCTGTATTTGGTTTGCTTATTGGCACATTTTTGCATTCTTGGGAACAAAGACACTCATTGACCTTTCTTATGGCCCCCTCTCTGTAGAAGATGATGAAGAAGAGATTGGATTTCTACCCCACCCTTCACTACCCAAAGGTGTCTCAGAGCAGCTTACAAACTCCTTTCCCTTCCCCTCCCCACAACAGACACCCTGGGAGGTAGGTGGGGCTGAGAGAGCTCTTGACAGAAACTGCTCTTTTTCAAGAACAGCTCTTATCAGAGCTACGGCTTGCCCAAGGTCATCCAGCCAGGTGCAAGTGGAGGAGCGGGGAATCAAACCCGGTTCTCCCAGATTAGAGTCTGCCCACTTAACCATGACACCAAACTGGCACTTAACCACTACACCAAACTGTACCTGTTGAAGTAAAACAGTGGTCCGGTCAGGATGAAAAGGCATTTATCCGTAATGCTGTCATTGATCTTGGGGCAAATGGGATTGTGAGGGAATAATCTCTCAACTTCCAGCTTGGTCCTAAGAGACCAGGCCCAGAGGAATAGGCAGCTCTGTGGTGACGGGACTACCAGAGATCCGCTGGACCCCTGGAGTCCCTTCCCAAACCTAGAGATGAGTAAAGGGGTAAAATGCTTAGGCCAAAAATGGCTGCTGCGAAGGTTGGAAGGTGGCTGGAAATTGGTTCTGAAGCTGATCAAGAGCCGCATAGTTGTGTGTGTGTGTATGGGGTTGTCATTTCCTCTTGTATCTCTCGTGAATTTGGGATGTGAAACACGTGATTGGGTCTTCATCTGTTGTTGAGTGCGGTATGCTTTCCAGACTTAAGCAAACGATGGAGTTTCCTTGGCTAGCTGAAGGGAAGGGAGATGACCTTCTTGGAGAAAGATACTTCACCCGAGATTTGTAGATTGCTTGAGGGAGGGATGTGTATATGGACCTTGTAAAGAATCACTGTTCTAAGTGATGGAACAAAGATTGAGTCCAGTGGCACCTTGAAGAACAACAAAGTTTAATTCTGTGTATAAGCTTTTGTGTGAATGCACACTTCCTCAGATACATAGAACAAAGTTGGAGTCCACTGGCACCTTTAAGGCCAACAAAGTTTAATTCTGGGTATAAGCTTTTGTGTGCACGCACACGTCTTCTGTAAGAAGATAAGAATCTCCTTGCTGGATCAGTGCTGTCTAGTTCAGCATTCTGCATTTAACATGCCCCCTGGGAAAACTATTAAGGAGGCAAGAAGCACCATTGGCCTTTGACCCCAGCCCCTGCTGTCTAGAATAGTGATATAGCACTGTGGCCATGTGAGCAGGAAAATCCCTCATTCGAATTGTACAGACATGAACCTTTTCCTTCAGTTTTTCCCATTTCTAGTTTTGGATAATAATATTGGTGTGGATCAATGTTCCCCTTAACATGCCCCCTGGGAAAACTATTAAGGAGGCAAGAAGCACCATTGGCCTTTGACCCCAGCCCCTGCTGTCTAGAATAGTGATATAGCACTGTGGCCATGTGAGCAGGAAAATCCCTCATTCGAATCGTACAGACATGAACCTTTTCCTTCAGTTTTTCCCATTTGTAGTTTTGGATAATAATATTGGTGTGGAGCCGTTGGGAAGGATTAATAAGCGAATGGTTCTTGAAGTCTTTGAAACAGGAGAAAGATGCTCTGTCCCTTAAACAAAGTGTGAATGTGTAGAAAGGGGCAGTTGAAGCTTCTCAGGTCATGGAGTGAAATATCGTTTTATTAAGCCTTTGTTAGAAGGGCGGGATGTTTTTCCTCTGGGCGTTTGGCAATCCTACTTTGAATCCTTGAAAAGCTCTCTTAATATTTATAGAACGCTTTTGGTGTTCTCACACATCATCTCCTTGCAGTCCTCATAAGAACATAAGGACATAAGGGATGCCAATGTTGGAACAGGCCAAAGGCCCATCCAGTCCAGCACTCTGTGTCACACAGTGGCCAGAAATGCCAGGTGCCATCAGGAGGTCCACCAGTGGGGCCAGGACATTAGAAGCCCTCCCACTGTTGTCCCCCCCCCCCCAAGCACCAAGAAAACAGAGCATCACTTGCCCCAGAGCCCCTATCTATACCTTGTGGCTAAGAGCCACTGATAGACCTCTGCTCCATATGCTATCTAATTCCCTCTTGAAGCCGTCCTCGCAACAGTTTTATAAGGTAGGCCCATATACCATTATCCCCGTATTGCAGAGTTGGGGGACTGAAGTAGAGAAATTGCCCGAGACGATCTAGTGATCCGTCGGGGACTCCCTTCATCACAGCCTGTTCTCTAGGTCATTTGTACTGTAAAAATGACCCGAATGCTAGGGCCGCAGGCTTCGAAGGTGGATGTGCTCTTTGCCGTTATTAGCTGAGCTCTCCTCCGTCTGTTTTACTTATTTATTTTAATCAAATGGGGAGGGGCTCAGGGGAAGAGGCTCTGCTTTGCAGGCAGAAGGTCCCAGGTCCAGTCCCTGGCATCTCCAGTTAAAGCGTTTGGCAGTTTATAAGGTTTATAAGATTATGCATGGGAAAGAGCAGGTAGAGAAAGAGGTGCTTTTCTCCCTTTCTCACAATACAAGAACTCGTGGGCACTCCATGAAATTGCTGAGCGGTCGGGTTAGAACGGATAAGAGGAAGTGCTTCTTCACCCAAAGAGTGATTAACACATGGCATTCACTGCCACAGGAGGTGGTGGCAGCCACAAGCATGGACGGCTTCAAGAGGGAACTGGATAGGCATATGGAGCAGAGGTCCATCAGTGGCTATTAGCCACAAGGTATAGATAGGGGCTCTGGGGCAAGTGATGCTCTGTTTTCTTGGTGCTGGGGGGGGGGGTCAACAATGGGAGGGCTTCTAATGTCCTGGCCCCCACTGGTGGACCCCTTGATGGCACCTGGTATGTCTGGCCACTGTGTGACACAGAGTGTTGGACTGGATGGGCCTTTGGCCTGATCCAACATTGGCGTCTCTTATGTTCTTATGTTCTTAGTAGGTGATGTGAAAGACCTCTCTGCGTGAGACCCTGGAGAGCGGCTGCCAGTCTGAGTAGACAATACTGACATTGATGGGCCGAGGGTCTGATTCAGTATAAAGCAGCTTCACATGTGTTCGTGTGTATTTTATACCCTCCTTTCACCCAGGTATCTCAGTACCCAGGTGGGTAACAATATAATAAAATGTTATTGATAAAATAATAAACATTGAAGCAACAATGGCTAAATGACATTGTCCCAGTCGTGTCCATCACTCCAACTTGCAGCAATCATGAATGCCATGGTTTAATGATGAGAATCAAGTTAATGAGGCAAGAATATTAAGGACCCCTACTCCCCTGGCCACATTTTATTTGGTTCTCCAGGGTTTGTTTTTGTCCTTAAGCCTGACTTTCCACAAAATTAGAAAAAGAAGAACAACAACTTGCTAACCAGCTTGCTTTTAGCTCAAGGCAGCTTATCATACTGATAAAACAAACGCGGTAAGAATAGAGCAGTTGGGCTGAAGTAAATATGATGGGAATGTGCAGGACCAGCAGTGGTTATCGTTCCAAAAAATCAGCAGCCAAAGGTGGTCCAAAGCAAAAATAACTTGCATGCTCACTGCACAAAGAGCAGCCTTGCTAGTCCTCCGGGTGGTCATCCTGAAGCCTTGGGGCAACTACAGTTAAGGCCCCGCTTTTAGTAACTGCACGTACAGCAGGTTCCGTCTGCTACAGTCCAGCGGTGTGTCCAGAGAGCAAAGTGGTCTTTGACGTAGGTAACTCGCAGGTTATTTAGATCCCAGGCCAGAAAATCGGAAATTATTGGTGGATCACATTTTGGTTGGCGGGATCGCAAGCGACAACCCTTTCTCTTCTGCCAAGCAGCCTGACTCCCAGCAAGCAAGCTGCCGGCTGGCAAACGTATACAATTAAACACTCGGAAGTGCATGTGTGGTTTTGATTGCATGATTAAGAATTAATTTGTTCATTTGCCTGGGGAAACAGGGTGCCTGCTGTATCTGTAACCACAAAGAGTTTTCTGTGCCTCCAAATGGCTCAGAAGGAGACTCAAAGAATGCTCCCGACTGCTCTCTGCCAACTGAATCAAGCACCCCACTCCCCTTCTAGAGCAGGAGAAAGAACCCCAAAGTCCTGGTTTCCCTTTCACCCTGCACTGAAAAAACTCTAGCTCCTGTATCCCTAATGTGACAGCCAAAAGTCCCAGGGTGGTGGCAGGTTTATCTGGGACAGAGCAAAGCATCACGTGTGGGATTCCTGCCTGTCACCGTTAATGTTAAACCCTTACAAGAAGCTACTAAAAGACAAAGGGCGCTTGCATCTGGCCATCCTGGAAGAAGAGTTGGTTTTATACCCCGCCCTTCACTACCTGAAAGAGTCTTGGAGCGGCTTATAGTCTCCGTCCAGTCCCCTCCCCACAACAGACACCCTATGAGGTAGGTGGGGCCGAGATAGCTCTTTCGAGGACTGCTCTTGAGAGAACAGCTCTGAGAGAACTTGTGACTGACCCAAGGTCACCCAGCTGGCTGCATGTGGGGGAGTGGGGAATCAAGCCTGGTTCTCCCAGATTAGAGTCCACAGCCTTCAGCCAAACTGGCTCTCCAAGGGGCAGCGACTCAGTTCTTGCTCTCCGGACTGGGATGGAACCCAGGAGTCCGAGCTCCCTAATCCCTGCGCCGAGAGCTCCCGTTTTGATGTAAAACAAGAAAAACAAAAGCGTGTCCCTTTCGTGAGTCGCACTGCTCATTTCTTCAGATCCCATCTCTGAAGCAGCTGGGCCGAGCTAGCCAGCTGAGTCCCACCCACCTGCCACATATCCCGTTAGTCTTTCAGGTGCTCCTGGACTTGCTCTTCTCTACCGCTACAGACAGAGGAAGGAGCTGCGGTGGCTCAAGTGGTTGAGATGCTGAACTGCAGGCTGTGGAAGGTCGGTCGTTCAACAGTTGGAGACCCGGGTGCCGCATTACGGAGTGAGCTCCCGTCTCTAGTTCCAACCTAGCAGTTCGAAAGCAAGAAATTGCAAGTAGAAAAATAGGGACCACTTCGGTGGGAAGGTAACAGCATTCCATGCGTCTTGGTGTTTAGTCACGCCGCCGGCCACATGACCACGGAAACGTCTTCGGACAGCGCTGGCTCCTCGGCTTTGAAACGGAGATGAGCACCGCAACCCTAGAGTCGGATTCGACTGGCTCTCGAGCAAGGGAGACCTTTACAGACAGACGAACGGCTGCCCATCTTGATGCAGAGAATGGCTCCCTCCCTTCCCTTCTCCAGTTTCGACCTCTCCCCGAATTCTGCTTCTGCCAAGAACTCCGGAGTCCTGCGCCCCCGGCTCTTTGGCTCGCCTCCCTTGCGCCGGCCCCGTCTCTCCCGTCGAGGTTAAATGGTTAAGCACCATAGAGAAGCAGGCCCCGTCTGTCTCCCTCGCCTTTCCCTTCCCAGCCCAGCGGCGACGGCAGCAGCGGAAGAGGGGGAACTTGGCAGGGGAGGGAACTTCCTCCGCCTCCCTCCTTCCCAGTCACCCTGAGCCCCGGTGGCTGGCCACTCGCAGGGGCGGAGGG